ATTCATCTGATCACTTCTACCTCTCTTGAGATATTTCCACTATTCGACTTGAGAGACATCCTATTTCTTGGTTTGTCTCTTCCTATTTGTCTCACTGGTTCTTCATCTCCCTGGCCACCATCTCTCTTGCTTAGTTCCCAGACCTCTTCCCTTGTCATTTGGATTCATTCTTTTGGGTAAACTAATTCAGTTATGTGGTTTCGAGTTACCTTCTAAATACCAAGAACTAGTTTCTTATCTATAGCCTATTTTTTCTGTCTGAACTCCAGACCTGAATAACCATGCCAGCCCCCACTGTGTTTAACAGATATGGCAAACTTGGTGTGACCAAACCCTTGATTTTCCCTCAACCAGGGTCCCTGTCCAGGCTTCTACAACTCAAGTAAGTTCAACTACCTCCTTAATCTTTAGAATTGTCTTCAATCTCTCTTTTGTTAGAATCCACATGTAAGCCACTTGTCCTGTTTGCTTTCCTATTGCTGTGATAAAGACCAGGACCAAAGGCAACTTAGGGAGGGAAGGGTTTGTTTTACCTTACAGTTTACATTCCACAGTGAAGAGAACTTAAGGCAGGTGGAGGAACAATGCTTACTGGTTTTCTTCCTATGGCTTACTCAGCCTGCTTTCTTATACACCAAGCAGTTCTTATACATGCCCAGGAGTGGCACTACCCACATTAGGCTAGCCCTCTCATATCTATCATTTATCAGAAAAATGTCCCAAGGATTTAACATACAGGCCAAAATGATGGAGGCATCTTCTCAAACTTGAAAGAAAAATCAACTAACAGCATACTATCTAAGTAAAATCTTGTCAATTTTTTATCAAATTAAATCCAGAATCTGATCACTTCATACCAACATCACTACTATCATCCAGGCCTATGCTACATTCTACACTATCATTATTTCTCTAAGAAACTAATGCTTTATAAACTATACTTAGCACAAAGACATGACCATTTTGAAATTTACTTCAAATCTGGTCAACACTCATTCTACAACTTAACTATGAGTAAAAATCACTGTCCTTATAATGGCCTGGCCTGCAAGCCTCTGTATGATATGTCCCTACCACTAGGACTTGAATCCTATCTCCCACTACTATTCTCCAGCACTCTGTTCTGCCCATACTGGCTGCTAGTCCCTCAAACTCTCAACACACTCCTGTATCAAGACCTGTGCACTCACTCTCTTGAGAGCATTCCTTGAATGTTTGTCGGCCGTGCTGAATGCTCCTCCATCACACTATAATCTGAATGTCTGAGTCCTTCTAAAATGAGTATGTTGAAGTCCAATCCCCAAAGTGATAAGAACCAAGAGATAGAACATCTGAGAACTGACAGGTTTAAAGGGTGGAGTCCTTATGAATAGAATTAATGCCTTATAACTTCTCATTTCCTTCAGAGGCCTCTGTGTATCTGCTATTTATATATACCTATTTATTTACATTCACTATTTGTATTCCCATCCCAACTAAACTATTAAGCTAATTGAGGCTAAAGGTTTTATGCTTAAGATCCAGTGAACACCAAGTAAGTCTTCACTGAATAACACCACTGGATCGTTTTGCTACTTCATCTGTCCCAACATCTGCTAGTCACCAGGAGATTGTTTGGCTCTAGCTTGAATATCACATATTAGACTTTAAACAGGTGGAGTTTATCTCTATCACATATCTGGTCCCTTGAAAGTCTTCCAATAAAACTAAAATTCAAAGTAAAGAATGTTCCAATCTATTTTTCTGTGTCAACAAAATAAAGTTCCTTCTGGCTTTCTTTTCAATTTCAACACAGCTAAACACAAAAATATAGATTAAAATAATTTTCTGGATTCTTTTCTAATTTTACCAATTTGACCAAATCTTCTCAATTATCTATATGTATTTCCCCATCTTTCCTTACACAGTTAAGGTCTCTAGTTGTTCATACTAATTCACTGCAAACTAAACAGTATGAAATTACAAACCATGATAGTCAACAGACAAGGCCAGATAACTAATCATTTTAAATTATGTATATACATGTATGGGTTTGTATACTCAAGTACAGTACTCTCAGAGGCCACATCAGGTATCAGATCCTGTAAAACTGGAATTATAAGCAGTTGTGAGCTAAAAATCACAGGCACTAGGAAATGAAATCCATTCCTCTAAAGGAACAGCAAGTTCTCTTAACTACTCAGCCATCTCTCCACCCAGGGATAATATAAATTTGAAACCACTACTGCTAAGTCTCTATGTTCTCTTAAAAAGCTTAATTTCTATAAACAACTCAAAAGCATCATCAAGATTTGTTTTGATAGATTATTCTTCTACTTTGCTTTTTGTTACTATGATAAAACACTGACAATAAACTTGAGGAAGAAAGGTGGTTTTGTGTTTGTTTGTTTGTTTGTTTGTTTGTTTGTTTTGACTTACATTTCCAAGTCACAGTCTATCTTTGAGGAAAGTAAAGGCAGGAACTGAAGCAGAGACCACACAGACATGCTACTCACTGTCTTGCTCCCCATGGCTTGCTCATCTTGCTTTTATATAACTCAGGGTCATCTGCCAAGTGGTAGTACCACACACAGTAGGCTGGGCCCTCCTACAACAATCACTCAAGAAAATGCTCCCACAGACTTGCCTACAGACCAATCTGATTCAGGCAAATTCTCAATTGAAATCCCCTCTTCCCAGATGACTTGTGTCCCTTCTAGCTGTGTCAAGGTGACAAAATATGAGCCAGCACAATTATATGTAAAACTCTCACTAGCTACAGAATTTGATCAATCTTAATGAATACTAAACAACTATTTAGTTGAACTAGCAAGAAGGCTCAGTAGTTAAAGACACCTGCTAAGTTTAATCCCTGGGACCCTCATGGAAAGAAAATACCAACTTCCAAGAGCTGTCCTCTGACCTCCATGTTTACCATGGCAAGCATAATAAATAAATAGGCAAACAAAAAAATAAATGCAATAAAGAACATTCCTGGTGTTGCAAAAATGGCTCAGTGGTTAAGAGCAGTAGCTGTTCTTTCAAAGGCCCCAGATTTGATTCTCAACAGCCACATAGCAGCTCACAACTGTGTGTAATTCCAGTCCCAGGGGATCAGATAGATGCCCTATTCTGGCCTCTGTGGGTGCCAGGCATAAAGGTGATACATAGACATACATGGAGGTAAAACATTAATAAACTTTAAAAACAAAACAAAAATACCTAGAGAAACATTGTGGTGTGGTACTAAGAAGAAACATGTAAGACACTGAGGGAGACAAACACACACACACTAACATGGAAGGGATTAGGTCAGGTATAATGGCACATGTCTTCAATTCCAGGAGTCCTTGAGGTAGGTGAATGGATAGCTATGAGTTTGAGGCTAGCCTCAGTCAACCTAGACAAGTTCCAGGCCAGCCAGTGCAGCACAGTGAGAAACCTTGGGGGTGGAGGGAGAATGTAATTAACTTAAATAAAATAAAAAAGAAACAAATAAATGAAAAAAATTTAAAGGAATTACTTCCCGTTCTACCTAATCTAGATTTTTTTTTAAGTTAAAAAGTAAAATGAGCCGGGCAGTGGTGGCGCACGCCTTTAGTCCCAGCACTTGGGAGGCAAAGGCAGGCGGATTTCTGAGTTCGAGGCCAGCCTGGTCTACAGAGTGAGTTCCAGGACACCCAGGGCTACAGAGAGAAACCCTGTCTCGAAAAACCAAAAAAAAAAAAAAAGTAAAATGAATCTTCTGGCCTGGTGTAGTGGGAAAACCCTACAATCTCAACACCCAGGAGGACCTTGAGGATGGGGAAAACAATGGTTTAAAGGATATGCTGAGCTACATGAAGACCCTGTCTCAAAAACCTAAACCCCAAACAATGGTCTTCAAACTTACATTTTTACTAATTATTGTTACATACACTGCAATCGTTCACTTTGGAAATGAGGCATATTTTTTCTCTGTGAGCAGGAAGTGGCACAAGGTAACACTTTACAATGACCACAAAACCACTGTGTATAATATTTTTCACTGTTAAAAAATGAGAACTGTTAAGTTCAGTACCGGGGCAATTTTATATTCAATAATTGTATATGCAATCATAGAATTAAAGTGCAATGAATGAAAATCAAATTTCTGTTTAACAGTCCAATTAATTTCCTTTGAAAGTTTCCTATTACATAACTTACAGAAGAGGTACATTTTTTAGCTAACTCTGTTAAGTGTGCCTTTTTGTTGTTGCTGTTGTTGTTGTTTTAGCTCCACAATTTATATCTTGTGTGAAGGACTCAATCAGAGCTTGGGAAATTCTCTTTCATTCCATGATCATGAAGTTAGTAACGTGTCTTCTTTTTCTGTCCATTGTTTGAGGCAGTGCCTGAATAAATACCCTTAATCACTTTCAAGTAGAAATAAAAAGGAACAATACATTTTACAAGTTAAAGATCCAAATTAAAGTCAGAACAGAAATGAATGGAGAGGAAGGACCTATACACAAGAGTATCCTGGGCACCTCACCCTCAAACTCTAAAAGTTTCACAGCTTCTCCTATCAGTCCTAGGACCAACCGGGAGGAGGCTTCAAATTCTTCCAGATTTCTAACTGCAACAAGAACACTAATAGCAGGCTATAACGATTACAAAATACAGTGCAAGAAAACCACTAACAGACGCTGAGCAAAAAGAAAGAACGAGGGAGGGAGGCAGATGAAGTAAAAATATGTTTAGGTGGGAAGATGACAATTTGGGATGATACATGGTTACTGTGTCACACTTGAGACACGGTAAAAGTGTAAAAGCGGTCTGCCTACACCTCTCTTCCTTCTTCCTTTAGCACAGCTTGAGGGGTGGGGGAAGGATGATCTCCAGAAAGCCAAAGAAAAAGTAACAGCACTCTCAGGCTAGTTGCACCGTTCAGCCTAACACTTAGATCAGAAGTTCCGAAGTTGGACCAACTGGGAAGAGATGGCGGTCAAGTGGACCGGGCTGAGTGAGGAGGTCTGGCCCGCCGCGCCCGGAGCGCTTACCTGCTGCACCCCGAGGAACTCGTAGAAGTTCAACTGCACCTCCTCCACCAAGTCGAACAACTCCAGGTCTCCGCTCTCCCAGGCGCGCACCGGCCGCACGGCCGCCAGCAGAAACAGCAGCAGCGGCCACAGCGGCCGCACCGAGGACGACACCAGCCCGGGGCGCCGGCGCTGCAGAAGTCGCGCGGGTCCGAAGCCAGGAACCCACATAGCTCTGGGCTCCGAGAGGTCGGTCGGCAGCCACGCCATGCGCCTGCCGAGAGCGGGGACGTGGCGGGTGGCGCGGGCAGTGCAGGCGGCGCCTGTCAGTCAGGAGCGCGAGCAGCCGCCGGAAGCGGCCAGCCAGGCTGCCGGCTCGACGGAAGCACCTATAGACACGGAGAAGGTGGCGGGGGAGCGGAGACCAGTCGCAGCCGGCTCTCCCTTTCCCGACCCTCGCCACGGCCTAGGAACAGCTGGAGAACCAGCGCTGGCACCCAGGCTGTCGTGTGGGAGAGGCTTCCCCAGGCCTCAGCCTATCCCAGGCCTCGCTTCCGGTGACATCACGTCTCCTAGCAACTATGAGGCGGGGCCGGGGCCGGAAGTAGGAACGCCAGGCGCTCTGGATTCCGGCCTCGGCGAACAGTCTTTCGGTAGCTGGTATATATATAGTAGCTGCACATGTGTTTAAGTGCTGGCTAAGAGAGGTGGCCAATTACAGACCTCCAGGACCCGGAACGCCTACCTGTAGGTTTTCTTTCCCATGCCTTCTACCTTGCCTTCCTAAGTATTAATATTAAAAGCATACTTCAGGGTCGATGTATTTTACTGGTTAGGGCTTCTGTTCCCCGTGCATTTTGTTTATTATTCCATCAGTAAAGATAGGATGAATTGAACTAATGCCTAAAACACACAGATCCACTCCAGTGTGGTTTTGGGGGGTGGAGGCACAAAAAGGAGTTTAACTTAAAAGAAAATTATACTTCTAAATATGAATTAAGATTTGTGGGTATATTCCGTGCCTGTAATTTCCAGGAGATCTAAAGCCCCCTTCTGGCCTCTGCAGGATCCTGCACACACATGATACATATAAATGTAAGCAAACAAACAAACATACATATAAATAAATTTTAAAATATTCTTTTAAATCTGAAGTTTATTTCCTTAAAATAAAACTAATCTTGGACCTAGTGTTGACTCTTTGATGAAGGCCACTTCTTGCTCTTGTAGAGGACCTGAGTTCTGTTCCCAGTACACATATTGGGATGGTTCACAACCGCCTGCAATTCTAGCTCTAGGCGATTTAACACCCTCCTCTGGCTTCCACAGTCACCCGTGCATGTGAACGTACACATAGGCAGACACAAACATATATATATAAATTTAAAAATATTTTTAAAAAGGCTAATCTTTACCAAGTCCCTACATTAAAGCAAATATTTATTCAATGAGTAGAACTATAAAAAAATGGCAACAACAAAATTTACCCAACGTAAAAAATTTTTCATATTTGATCATCATACTATTGAATGCGATATTATCTGAAAGTGGTATGGTCTTGCCACAACTGTAGCAGTATTAGTATGCGCTCTTACCAGACAGTCCTGTAGTTCCCTCTTGAATTCTGTGTTGTCCAAGAGCTCCAAGGACTTACTCCATTTCGGGGAGCATATCACTTTTTTTTTTAAAATGTAATACTGTTTATTTAACTTCAAAAACATTTCAGCATTCTAAACATACAAAAAAATAACAGAATGTTGCAAATTGCGTTTAGGTACAGAGGGTTCTTGAACTTCCATTGATGCAGTAGTTCTTTGCTTTGCTGACAATGATGAGTTCTACAGTTTCTTTAAAAAGTTTAAAATCTACTGCACTTAACTAAGGAAAAAACTCCAAACACTTCTCATGCCAGCTGACCCCTCCCCCCTTTCCACAACTAAGAATGTCAGCAGAATGCTACGCCACTATATACAAAAACAAGACAACCTGAAGCTAAATGGATGCCCACCGCAGTATCAACAGGTCCAGCCTCACAGTGCACGCCCTGAGCTATGGCCCCCTCCAAAAGGCATCTTCCCCTCACAGCCTCCATGCCAAACAAGGAGCATCAAGAATCTGTCTGGGTTGTTTTGTTCTCTTTACAAACTATATAGTTGAAAACTCAGGGTTTCTAGCCAATAACCATATAGTTAACACTACCTTACAAGTTGAGAACAAAATGCCAGAAACATCTTCAAATGCCTTGTCACACCAACAGCAAAGTGCACTGAGTGAGGAGGACTCAAGAGTGCCTTTTCATTTTAAAAATGTTAGGAGCTATGTACAACTTTGATACAGTTTCAGGGCACTCTGGGCACCCACGGCCACTTCATGTAAACCACTGACACTTTGAGAAACTACAATATGATCGTGATCAAATTTTTAAATTAAACTTAGCAAGGGCAATAGACATGACTCAAATAAGAGATGTGTCGATCACAGCGCTCTCCTACTCTAAGGTATTCACAAAGAGACAGAGTTTTTATTCATCTTCCTCCTCTTCCTCCTCCTCCTCCTTCTCCTCCTCCTCCTCCTCTTCTTCCACCTTTTTCCGGGCAACTTTAGCAGGACCCTTGGCGCCATCAAACTTTCCTTTAGACTTATAGTCAGCAACATCCTTCTCATACTTCTCCTTCAGCTTTGCTGCCTTGGTAATGTAAGGCTGCTTTTCACTATCACTTAAGTTATTCCACATCTCACCCAGCTTTTTTGTCACATCTCCGATGGAAATGCCAGGGTTTGTGGATTTGATTTTGGGGCAGAATTCCGAGCAGAATAAGAAAAATCCAGACGGAGGTCTTTTAGGGGCATTTGGGTCCTTTTTCTTCTTGCCTCCTTTAGCTGGTCCATAATCTTTCATCTCCCGATCATAGCATATTTTATCCGCCTTCGCCATTTCATCAAACTTTGATTTTTCTTTGCTAGACATTGTCTTCCACCTCTCAGAGCACTTTTTGGAAAACTCTGCAAAATTGACTGGAACCTCTGGGTTTTTCTTCTTATGTTCTTCCCTGCATGTCTGCACGAAGACGGCATAAGCAGACATCTTGCCCTTTGGTTTCTTGGAGTCACCTTTAGCCATCCTGACTGTATTGTTCGGTAGTCTCGCATATCACTTTCTAAGGCCAGGCTGATACAGAAGTAGAGTTGCCTCTTCACCCCAGTGTTTCTCACAGTCAGGGATTGATCTTGAGGATTCTTCCTGTCCAGTTTCATAGACGCTTTATTCTCCGAGACAATGTTCTTACTACAATTTGAATTTGGCATTTCTAAGTTAACTGTTGTTCTGCAGGAGGTAACACAACTGAATAAATCCTTTGTCAATGTCTGGGCAAAGGACAGTTATCAGCTGTTTTCTTCCCTGGTGACATTTACTGATCCTAGGCGTGGAGTGATTGGCTTTGGCCTGCTCATGAGGACTTTACACAGATAAAAGGAAAGCAGTGAAATGTTTACTTTGGATTGTGTAATGGACTAAGGTACAAAGAAGCCCCAAACATACAGTCAGCAGTCCCACAAGACAGCTGCTAAGTCTTGGATACTGCTTGAGATTGAAGAGCTGGGCTCAGAGTAACATCATCTACCTACATAAGACCTGTGATGGCCATGTCCAGTTGTCAGCTCCACTATAACTGGAATAGACTACAATCCAGAAACGGAGAGCACACCTGTGTCCCAGGTCTTGAGGCTGGAAGACACACACCTTTAACCCAGATCTTGAAGCATACCTTTAATCTGATCCATACCTTCTGCTGGAGGATTACATAACAGTGGAAAAAGGAAGGGTTTGTTCTTCTTTGCCTGCTTGCATTTCACTTTGCCAGCATATCTGTTGGAGCCCTCTTCTTCAGGATTCCAGTTTATACAGAAGACCAGCAGAACCACTTAACATTGTGGGATTAAGCAACTACTAGATTCTTGGACTTCCCATTCACAGCTGGCCATTGTTAGGTTAGTTGGACTGAGGACTATAAATCACTCCTATCTATCTATCTATCTATCTATCTATCTATCTATCTATCTATAGTGAGAGAAAGAGGGAGAGAGATGGAGAGAGAGAGAGAGAGAGAGAGAGAGAGAGAGAGAGAGAGAGAGAGAAAGAGAGAGAGATTTACTCTATAAGTTCTGTGATTCTAGAGAACGTGGACTAACACAAGGCTGTAAGTCTGTAAAAGGCTACCTAGAAGTGGGAAGCCTACCTCAAATACATGGGCATTATTCTTCACACTCAAGATCATTGTAATTACTTCTGAAATTACATGAAGAAGATCTCTAGGGCCAAGGAAATGAATGCTTTTCTGGTTGTTGATCAAAAGTTCAGCAGAATCATGAACAGAAAGAAAACAGAAATTGACTGAATCTTAATAACTCTGCTTCCTAGTCACAATCCAGCTCTTCTGTGACTGTGTAGAAAATAACAGACACTCACCCAACTTGTCTAATTTCCATTTTACTGGAAAATAAGCACCTATGTTGTCTATGGGAATTTTATGTAAAACTCTGGGATATGTGGTTGTTTTTAAGCGTAAGACATAACAAGGATAGGAAGTTTTGACCAATGATAAAGAAGAGGAAAAAAGATTATAGAGTCCCACAGATAAACCAGATGTTAAAGCTTAGATAAGACCTTTGAAATGACTACGTGAAATGACCTATTACAAAATAAAGCAGTAGGTCATAAGATGGAGGAGGGGAACGTGGGTAAAATATATAGCAAGGTACAGAATTTTAACAGAAAAATTAATATATGAATTATATATTAATTCCTATTCATACCAATATATGAATTAATATATGAAATCAAGAACTCAGTAAAAGAGTTAAACTGCAGACTAGACATAGTAGAATAGAGATTAGTGGGTTTGGGGAAAGATCAAGAAAATAAAAATACCCGAACTGAAAGAAAAAGAATGGAGGAAAACAGAATTTAAAAGGCAGATGTGCAAAGAATAAACCTTAGATATGTGTAGCAAACCTTAAAACAACAAATAGAGCTGCCGGAGCAGAAGTGACATTTGAGGGAATAGTAGTCAGTTTTACAGAAGTGATGACAGACATAAAGCCACAGAAGCAAAATACCATTCAAAATGAATCCCTGTCTAAATGGAAATGTTGAAAATTTTAAAGTCTTGGAAGCAAAAACAGGAATAAATATTAGCGACCTTTAGCCAATGATTTCTTAGATGTGACAC